GTTGTACAACGCGATTCAGCTGCTCTGCTTGCCCGTTTGCCTCTGGGTGGTTCGCAGAGGTCATCTGCAGCGGTGTACCCTGTTTTGCAGCTGCAGCCTTCCGCAACTCGCTTGTGAATTTGACATCCAGGTCACTAATAGTAGACTTTGGAAGCCCAAAGTCTCTGACCCAGTTTTCCTTGAACAGCCTAATGACGTACTCGGTCTTTGCTGTTTCAGGCATTGCAACTAATCTAGCATACTTGCTAAACCTATCCACAATGACAAAGATGTGTCTCATTCCGCTCTTGCTCATGACCAGCGTGTCCATGAAGTCCATGGACAGGCTCTCACTGGGCCTTTTCGGAATCGGAAGGGGCTTAATAAGCCCAAGAGGGGCCTGCGTACGTGGCTTGTCCCTCTGACACACTTGACAAGTTTCCATGTACAGCTTGACATCTTTCATCATCGTGGGTCACCAGGACTGCTGCAACAGATTGGCTGCAGTGTCCGGTGGCATCATGGCACTCACCTAAAAAGAAACTACGCAAAGACTCCAGATTAGACACACACAAACGTTTATTCTCGGGCTTCTCAAGGAACAGCAGGCCGTTGACCAACTCAAACTCGGCTGAAGTTGCTTTGTCCTTCACCTCGAGTCTGCGTATGATCTCGGCCATAAACGGATCCTCGCGATAGGCTTCCACCAAAGAGCAAGTAACGTCGTCCGCAAGTCCAAACTCAGTAATCAGCGCACTGAGAAAGTCTGGCCTATGTGACAGCGCATCAACAACTTTGTTGTACTGTCCTTTGGTGTACTGGGGCTCGAAGTCATATTGCTCAATGACTTCGATCCAGTGTTTCAGCGCATCAGAAAGCACAGGCTGGGTTCTCATCCACTTCAGGGTCTGATGATCAGCCCTGACGTAGAAGAACCTCCCAAGGAGGTAGTGTCTCCTGTGGGTTAGCTCTTTGTAAATCGCATAAAGCTCCTTCGCATAGGTGGACAGCAAACTTCTGAGAGGGTATCTTTTTGGACATGTACTCGACAGGCCTCACCTTTGGCCCCTCCTGCTGCGCGAGCACGACGCCTATGCCATTTTGACTGGCGTCCGTGGTTACTATAAACGGCTTATCAGGATGAGGAAGTTTCAAGACCTCATGGTGTGCCAAAGCATGCTTCAGATGTCTGAAGGCTGCCTCACACCTGTTTGTCCACTCTCATGGGGTGTCAAGAGGTTAAGTGTTAAAGGGGCGGCAACTATGTTATAGTTCTTCACGAAATTGCGATAGTAGTCGGTCATCCCTAAGAAGGACCTCATCTAAGTCACTGACTGAGGATGCGGTCAATCATGCGGCCAATCACGAATGCTGGCCACCTTTGCGGCATCGGGCTTCAATCCCTCTGTGGAAATCCAAGTACAAGATACGGGTGCGGCCAAACTTGCACTTCTTGCTGTTGATCTTGAACTTGTGCTGCCGAAGGAGACTAAGGACTTTGTCTAAATGACCAACGTGCTCCTCAATAGTCCAACTGAAGATAGTATATCATTAAGGTACACGATGGCAAACTTATTTCATTGCGTGTTGAAAGGTGCCAGGAGCATTGCAAAGGCCGAAAGGCATCACCACAAACTCGTACAGACCGTACGTGGTTTGAAAAGCGGTTTTGTGTTGATCCTCAGGTCGTACTGCAATCTGATGGTACCCGGACTTCAGATCTATCTTACTGAAGTACCGGCACCCTTGCACTCGGTCCAACAAGTCATCGATGCGTGGTAGGGGCTCTCTGTTCTTGACGGTGATGGCATTGAGGCCCCTATAGTCAATGCACATCCTCAAAGTTCCCCCCTTCTTTGGTACAAATAGGTCTGGAGATCCGTAAGGGGAGACACTCAGCCGGATCCAACCCTTCTCTACGAGTTTCTTGAGCTGTCGGCAAAGCTCATCAAGCTCGCTTGGAGATATCCGATAGATCCTACCCTTCAAAATGCTAGACTCTGGGATAATCTCTATCGCGTGGACGACCTCCCTCTCAACAACCCCTTTCGGCTCTTCGAATAGATCAGGGTACTCAGCGACTACTCCCTCTATCTCCGACGACATTTTCACCGGCTCGCCTACTGCAGAGACATAAACTATATACATACCCTCCTCCGGATTTTGCTTATAATAATTGTAGAACGCGACCTCACACATGCACCTATAGCACTCGAGACTACTAGCCTTAAACTTACGTAATCTGGCGGTCCCCCCACCGCATTTGCTTAGCCCACACCGCGGGCGCTTAGCTAGTTTGAATAAGAGGGAGGAGATAAGGAGGAGGAGATTGGTTGGCGAAGATGAAGAGCCTTGTCATTGGTCTATGCTGGAGTACATCATCGTTTTCTTCTTTCTTACTTCTTCTTCTTCTTCTTTCCCTCTCTCTCCTCTCAAGTTCATTCATTTCTTTTGCAACTGGACGACATTGTACTTTTCTGATGACTGTATACTTCGAAATTCGCCAGGATCATAACATTGGTATCAGAGCGGATTCTACTTGCGTGCGAGAGTTGACTTTGCCGCCATAACCCTAACCCTAGTGGTAAGGGCTAACCACCTAGGGTTAGGGCGAAAGTTAGGGTTAAGTGGGGCAGCGTGGTAAGGGGAAGTTGCTCCCACCTGGCAGGGCCGTGTAGGGTCGACATTAGACCCAACCAGGTAGCTTGAGTGCATGTTTGTGGTGGCGAGACACAAGGTGGGACTTCGTGATGGAACTTGAGAGAGGCGACAGTGAAGGGCACCTACAACTTGAATCTAAACTTCAAGGAAGAAGAGGAGTGACTTTAGGGCTCCCCTGAAGTTAGGCGAGCTTGAGGGTGGCAACCATATCCACACCTACGGACTGCAAGTTGCTGCTTTGATCTTCAACATTGACGGGGGATCCGGCGTTGTACTTTGGGTTAGATGTTGACCCTCCTAGATGATAGGACACTAGTGTAGAGGATGCTAATTGGGTGAGGAGGACTATGTGAGAGGGGGGTGAGTTTCTTTCATCTCAAGAGCCCGGCCACTCAGGTAAGTGCAGTGCCGCCAGGGTGCCTATGTGTGTGTGCATGGAATTGACTGCCTGCTGGGGTATTGTGGTTCTTCTTCCATCCTCCATAGTCATGATCTTGTGTGAGGTGTGTGAATTGCTTACGCACCTGACGAGTGAATGAATGGAGTATCTTGCATGCCATGCTATATCTTTCTACAATGCTTTGTTTATTTCATTCTGAACGACTGTAGTCTGTAGGTTCTTTCTGGGTCTATATTTCGTTTTTCAATTCGCTAGAGACATAGATTAGGTCTTTGTGGAACTCTTGTTGGTTGGGACCCGGTTCTGACTCCACAGGGACCATTTGGGACTCAATGGGACCAGGCCCAAACAAGAAGGGTTCCTCAGGCCAAATTTGTTAACATCAATTACCTTGCTCTATCTGATTGGGACTCGGAGTTCATGCTTTCGGACCAGGACACTCGTTGTTGAGAGGATCTCAACTGAGACGTTTTATTAGACTTTACCACACGATCCGCCGCCTAATTCGCACCTTGGACACCACTCAATTCTCTCTTGCATTTACGTAGTACACTTTGAATTTGATTTGTTGTGTCTTCAGGGAGCTGAGTCCGGTTAGGCTTGAGAGGACCTCATACGTGGCCGGACCAGATTGTGTGGCGGAATCGGATCTCTCTGATCTTTATTTTTTGTTTTTACTGCTCCCCAGTCCAAATGAATTGCCGCTCCGGCTAGGAGTTTTACCTTCTCTTCTAATTGCGTTCAAGACTGTTTCTTTTATTGGGTTCATTAAATGCCTCCGTCTACACGATCGCAAACAAGAGAGAGAGAGAGAAGAGAGAAGCTTCTGAGTGTTGCTCTTGAGGGGGTGAGGAGAGGGAAGAGGAGTGTTCGTTCCAGAAGTGTGAGGAAGTACGGACCTCTCTTGAGAGACTTATTGACACCCTCGTCCTCCATCATGGCATCTGCAGCAGAATGGAAGCTGCAAAGGACGCTACCTCTGAGGCAGAGAAAGCGCAGGACCAGTTCTTTTATGAAAAAGCATTGAAGGGGGAAGAGAAGGAGTAGGAGAGGGGAGAAAGTAAAGGCTCATGAAGTTGTTTTCAGTAGGGTGCCCGCCTTAACTGATGATGAGGTGGAAGAGAAGATTGCCGCACTTCTCAGGGCTTTAGTAGAGGTCCAGGCTGTTGAAGACCATACAGGCCAACTCGCCAAGGTGTTTGATGAACTCAAGAAGTTGCGCGAGGATATGGCCCTGATGGCGCAGCAGCACCGTGACCAGCTGCAACTGTTTGCTAGCTTGCAGTCGGCCCAAAGTGTCCTTCCACCTACCTACACTGCTTCTAGTGTTGCGTGTCTGTCCGTTCTTGCCCCTCTAACCATATCTTCTTCTTCTTCTTCTTCTTTTTCTTCTTTGAGAGTGACCAACAGCCTATCCGGATCTGCAACAGGTTCAAAACCCACTGTTGTTGTTGCTGTTGTTGCTGCGGCAAGTGGCAGTGCAGGGCATTCTGGAACTGTTGCAGCCCCGAATTCGGACCCAGCGATCGCTGGTCCTAGATGCAGCTTTCCCTATGTGGACAGGAAGGCGGCACAAATTTCGTCTAAATATGACGGAAAAGACGACATCGAATTTTGGTTCAGTTCCATGCGATCCTACTTTGATGTACTGGGGACACCGCCAGTGACTCAGTCGTCGGTTTTGGGGACCAATGTGAAACCCATCGTAAGGGGCTTCTTAGAAGTCCAAGCTATATAGTCAGGCTATAAAACAATAGACCTGAACAAATGGTTGAAGGCTACAACTATAGCCGCACTCGAGGAACTTATGATCAAACAATATGTTGATCCACATGTTACAGCTGAAGCTAGACTGAAGCTTGACAAGCTCAAGCACAACAAGTGGACCGACACCATGCATAGTTTGCAGCAGTATGTTAGTAAACTCTTTGCTACTCCGGATCTGGAGATGACTGCGCAGCCTTTGCTTGGGTGTGATAAAAGGTACGGTCCCCTCTAGTGTGACACATCACCTGGGGCTCGGACTCATAAGGTATACATATTGGCTTACCCTCATGCGGGATTTAGTCAAGCTGGAGGCACAAGACCTCCTGGGTGGATCGGGTGGAAAAAAGACCACCGGCCGTGAACGGTTTTCAGGCAGCAACCGTTTTGCAGCGCATGATCTACTTGAGGTTGACGAGGAAACCTTCGTAGAGGACCCTTCTTTTGATGATGATCAAAAGCAAGATTGCGAGGCATCATGCTCTTCGTCAGCCCATGAGTCTGAGTATGTAAATGACGATGAATCTATTAATGCCTTCAAGAAGACTGCCTTTAAAAGTAAGGGACCAAGGAACACAGTGAAGAGCAACACTAACACCATTCTCCTTGCCAAGGGAGCGAAGATTCCACCCAAACCGGAAGATCCTGCCACAAAACCATGGGTAGATCTTCGGATAAGTGAAAGTGAGTGGAAACACAGGGTGAAGAAAGAGGTTTTTGCCCGCATTGCACCAAACCGGGACATTCAGTCCAACATTGCTTCAGATTGCAGCAGGGACACCAGCAATGGGGTTAGAGACATCATCAACACACTCTACAGACGGAGAGGCTGAACATGTAAGTGCAAATCCTTAACTGGATTCTGATCTCACTCAACAAACCTCTCCTGAGACCACATCTGATGTTGATTCCAGGGCTGAGAAAGTGCACGTCCTATACAAGGAGCCTTGGGTGGAGTCAGAAGAAATTGACTTTCATGCTCTCTTGACACGGTGGACTAACATGAAGCAAGAACGCGTGCAAGGGAAAACGAAGTTGATCTTCTTCAAACTCTGCATTAACGACCGTTACATCCGTGCGTTGGCTGATTGTGGCGCAACCGCCCATTACTTTTCACCCCATGACATTCGTAAGGCACACTTGGGAATGAGGCAAGTGACTTTGCAGAATCATTGTCGGACCCAAGTGGGCAACCAAGAGGTTGTCACATCTGCACATTAAGTCAAAGGTGTGCGCACTACCTTTGACGCAGACCACACAATCACGCATGAATTGAACTTCTATGTCCTTGATAAGTGCCCCTTCGACGCGGTTATTGGCTTGGGCTGGTTGCAGGCCCAATGTGAAAGAACCACGTGGGAGGACTCACAATTCATGGTCAAAGATGCCATGGGAATCGAGCGTCCATTCCTTTTGGATGAGCCGCTCGAGTCAATGCAATGCAATATTTAAGTGGCGCAGGCGCAAAGTTGATGAGCAAATGTATATAGCCCTTGTTAGGCCTGCTCATGTGCCTTCTATTTTTGTTGTACATAATGATTCTACTTTGCATGTCGTTTCCACTTCTAATGCAACGACTTCTACCTCTACTAAGTTTTCTTTTAGTCCAGACGATTGTGCTTCAAATTCTGTTGTTGTGGTTGCACCTATGCAATCCGGTATGCTTGCACCTGAAAGTGATGATCCACCTCCGAAAGTTCCATCAGAAATCCGCAACCTTCTCAACCGATTTCCTGAAGTCTTGGTCGAACCGCATGGAATCCCCGTGCGTCCGGTTGACATAAGATCGAGCTGATAGAAGGTAGCACTCCTCCAAAACGTTGTGTCTATCGAATGGGCTCAGACGAATTAGAAGAGTTGCGAAGAAAGATCGATGACATGATTAGGAAGGGATGAATCAAGCCAAGCTAATTCGAATTCGGTGCACCAGTTTTGTTTGTCCCGAAGAAAGGAGGCAAACTACGGATGTGTATTGATTACCACAGACTGGATAGAATAACAAGAAAGAATGCGTACCCTTTGCCGCGTATTCATGGTCTGCTTGATGCCGCAGGTGGATGCAAGGTCTTCAACAAGATCGATCTCAAGTCTGGAAACCACCAGATTGAAGTCGACCCTGCAGACCAGCATAAAACTGCATTCAAAGCTCGCGATGGGCTGAACAAGTTTACTGTCATGCCCTTCGGCCTCACGAATGCACCGACCACCTTTCAAAGTCTCATGGATAAGGTGTTCCGCAATCAGACCAATCGATTTGTTGTTGTTTATTTGTATGACATACTAATCTTCAGCAAGTCGATGGAGGAGCACGTAGGACACCTTGAGGAAGTGTTGCAAATCCTCAAGAATGCGCAGGCAGCGCAGCTCCTTTAACTTGGAGAAATCTGGGCTTGGGAGGGACAATGTCATCTACCTTGGACATCGATTGTCCGTTACAGGCCTAGAGCCCGAGGCAACCAAAGTTGAGGTCATCCGCAAATGGCCTCAACCGACAAATGTCTACGAGTTGCATTCTTTGCTTGGTCGTGCATCATACTACCGCAAGTTTGTACCCAAATTTTCTATCATTGCCTGACCGGTCCAAATTGACCAGCAAGAATGTGTCCTATACATGGGATGGGGAATGCACAACAGCCTTCCAAGCATTGGAGGCTTTGGCGAGTCATCCGGTGCTCCGCATTGCAAATCCCAAACTTACATTCGTAGTAACTACGGATGCAAGCTTGTATGGGATTGGTGCAGTGCTGCAACAAGATGATGGCGACGACTTACGTTCGCTCGAATTCTATAGCAAACGTATGCCGAGTCACAAGGTAGTTGCCTCCACTTACATGCGAGAACTCTATGCCTTGAGAGAGGCACTAGATCATTGGAAACAGTCACAAGGTAGTTGCCATTTCAAAGTATTCTCAGACCACGAGGCTTTGAAGTGGATTCAGATACAGAATAATCCATAAACTACATTGACCCGCTGGCTGCATGAGATTGCTGTGTATGATTTCGAACTTAGGCACAAGAAAGGTAGTTACAATCGCGTTGCGGATGCTTTGTCTCGCCACCCTGAGTACATGACTTGTCTTGTGGGCTCCTATGACCTCCGTAAGAACTTGAAGGAGGAACTAGTTGAGCATACTGCCAAGGACCCGAAACTCAGTCCCATCCTTGAGTAAATCTCGGTCGACTCTAACGGTCAGCCTCACTTCCATGAGTGTAAAGGTTTGCTCTTCCCACGCTACGGGAAGTACGACCACCTGTGTGTACCCAATCATGAGCCTATTCGAACTCACTTCTTGGACTTGGCTCATGGATGGAATGGGCACTTCGGTTTTGAAAAGACATACGGAAGTCTGTTGCAAAAGTTTGTATGGCATGGGATGAAAGGAATGACACGAAAATTTGTGGCTGAGTGTGAAGATTGTCAACGCATCAAACTGTCTCGGTAGAAGCCCTATAGGCTGCTGCATCCTCTTCCTATTCCTGAGTGGGCCGGGTGAGTCTCTCTTTCCATCGACTCCACGGACATGGGAAATAAGAGTAGGAATGGATATTTGCAAGTAATGGTGATCGTTGACTGCTTTTCAAAATTTTTGAATTTGATCCCATTACCACCTCATGCCCCAACTGACCTTGTGATCAAAGAGTTTCACAAAAAGTACATTTTGTAGTGTGGGCCCCCAAAACTCTTGTGAGTGACCGGGAAACTAGGTTCATAAGTGCAGATTGGAAGGACTTCACCTCCCAGATCTATGACATCAAATTCAAAGTGACGTTTGGTTGACATCCCGAAGCCAATGGACTGGCCGAGGAGATCAACTAGACCGTGATCCAACTTCTTCGAACTCTAATTGTGCCTGATCAGAACTCTTGGGATGAGGAATTGCCGATTGTGCAGGGGTTGTACAACAACTCCATACACTTTTCCATTGGGATGACACCTAAATGTTTGCACCTTCGGTGGAAAATTCACAATCCCCTATCCTATTTGTTTCCTGACCAGCCACCTGGCCTAACACGTGGCCAGCCAGGCTACAATGCTAAGTTTGATCGCTTGCTGAAAGTTGTTGTCGCAGCTATGGAAAGGTGACACAGTGTCATGATTAAGCATGGTAACAAAAAGCGTCAGCCTGCACCTTTCACAGTGGGAAGTTATGTCTGGGTCAAAATGTACGAGTTTTCTGAAGGTGTATCGCGAAAGTTTCTTCCTCAATATTACGGTCCGTGGAAGGTGTTGAACCAAGTAGGGGAAGAAACATTTGGTCCTCCTTGCACGATCGACGTGTCCACTCATCTGCGCACGTAGCTAGTCTTTCACGCGTCAAAGTTGTTTCCGTATGAACCACCCAAAACTTTTCCGTATCGAGAATCGATGATCCCTCACGCAATCAATGGCGGCCACGAGATTGATAGAATTGCCGAGCACAGTGGAAAGGGGAGAAACAAACAGTACGAAGTTCATTTTCTGTACCACCCGTTGAATGACTTTTACTGGATCGCTAAGAAAGACTTGCTGCAGAGTGCCCTGCGAGTCGTCAACACATATGAACGACCGATTAGCTCTGAACAGAAACCTAAATTCACTGCTACCCTCACTCCTACGAAACATACCCGATCTCTCTTTGCTATTTATGCTTATGATGCATTCTGCAGGGACTTTGATTGAGTTACTCGCTCGAAGGGACCTCGCTCTTGACGGGGGGGTAGTGTAATGACCCGCCATAACTTAGACTGAGAACACTGCCGATTTCTGAAGTTCTGCCGATGGAATGGATGCCTTGCTGAGATTCCCGCATTCAGCTGAGTTTTCTAAGTCTATATGTGTGCGTGCTTGTTGACCTGTGTGCCTGTCTGAGTGCTTGTCGGTATGAGTGTGTGTGTGACCCGCAAGGGCACTTGCTTATTTGGCAGGCCCTTAGGGCCGGTACTTACCTGTGGCTGTGGCATTGAGGGTTGCAGCAGGGAAAACACTAAAGTAGCGGAGCCAGGGGCCCACGGTGCTTAGAGCAGCGAAAAAACACTCAAAAAATGCTCAAGTAGCAGGTAGGCCGGTACTGCACCCAGTAGCAGTAGATGTGTCGGGTACTCAAGGCGGAGCAGAAGAAGACAAAGTTGGCATTTTTAGAGGCCCAGCAGCGGTAGGCCAGGTCTAGGCCAGTACCAGTCCATCCAGTCTACGAAGCAGGCCGCTACATCAAGAGGCCGAGGGAAGAGCTCGGCCTCATTCTTCAGTGTGCAAGTTGGGCGTCACGCTGCTGGAGCATTGGTTGGAAGAGCGCTGGCTGCTACAGCGCTGCTGGCAGGAAGAAGCCACCTTGGCTATTGTGGAGCTCTACTGTTAGGAGGAGGAGGGAGAAGGGGACCAAGGAGGAGAGTGGTGAGGTACCTACCTGGCTATGGTGGACACCATCTTCATCACCTTGTTAGGCGCTGCATCTGGAAGGGCCCAGTTGGGGTAGTGCCGCATCAAGGAAGCTCGGGACAGAGTCAGGCATGGTGGTTGAGTGGGCAGCGGCATAGCTGCCTGTTGTTGACCTTGGGACAAGAGAGCAG